ATCAGAGGCCCCAGAGAGGGGTGGGAGACGTGTCCATTCAACAAACACTGACTGGACGCACTGGGTGTGAGGAACCATCACAGGCCTGTGAGCCAGGGCTGTCAGAAGAAACCCACAACTTCCTGCAGTGAGGAACACACATGGGTGCTTGTAGAAGAACTATTCTGGAATAACAACTAGGGGTTCACATGTTCCACCCCAGGTCTGAGCTTCCATTAACATATTGCTAACCACAGCCTTTCAAACACTGTTCAGCCCCAACTCCTCCACTGTGTGAAGAAAATGATCGATTTTTACTGCAGAGTAAATTCATTCCACATTTACCAGCTCCCTTAGAGACCTTTAGTAGTCTCTAAAACCCTACTAATCCTCTCTCAGGCCAGAGGCTAATGCTGTCTTGAGTATAGATTTACACAGTAAAAGACAACGGCTTCTGTGTTAATCAGTCTACAGCAGCAAAAACACAGAAATGTAGGACAGGAACATTGGCTATGACTACTACATGCTACCTCTAAGAATATTGTTATCCATTCGTCCTTGTTTATCCATTTGTCTCCTTGGCAACGACTATATTTACAAATTCGTGCAATGAATGTTGAACAGTAGATTGTTGGTGACAAACCAATGCCAGGTAATGGAAAATCCCATACACATATTTATTTGGAATCAGGGTGCTTTTCCACAGAGAGCAGCAAGATGCCAAAATCTAACACTGATGTGGGGACTTGCCAAGACGATGAAAAACGTAACAGAATAAGAGCCCTAATTACTTACCTTGGAGTTAATAGTCCATGTGGGGACACAAAATAAAGCCATGTTAAATGCTCTCATTGCTTTGCTTTGTTTTAGGCAACAAGGACAAACCAAAGTGGTCCAAGAACCACACTGTCCACAGACAACTATTTCATGAAGCTGTGCAAGAGCTTCTTGATGAACAAACTCTACCTGGCTCTGGCTATTCTAGGGAAAGGAAAAAGAGTGACCTAAGGTTGGTGACCTTAACACACATAATATTTAGCAAATATTTCAGGAGTAAAAATCTTGCCTATTCTAGCAGGGCCAGATAAACATACAAGTACAGTAGTTTTCTGAATGTTATTTAAATGATATCCTTCATTTTCTTATATCTAGGATACAATATGTGCTTTATCAACAAACAAAGTTACCCTGGAATTGTATGTGGATGAATAATCCCACAATTTTATACAGGCTGTGGGGTCAAGAGAGTGCAGCTGATCTCCCTACTTTTCCATTGGCTAGCCCTGGCTCTAGACTCATGTTTCTCCAGTCTGTCCTCCACGTGGCCATGGAGATAGTGCAAAATTTGTCATATCTGCCCTTATTTATAAACTACAAGTGTTCCATCAGTTACAGAATCAAGTCCTTGCTTCTCAATTAATATGGCACATAATAGCCTTTATGATTGGTCCCTGTCCACCTTCCCTTCACCTCTCACACCAGCCCTCACTGGTATGGGACAGAAGCATTATCCTGGGATCAAAGGATGCACCTTTGAGCATGCTGTTCCCTTTGCCTGGAATGCCTTTTCCCCATCATGTTTGAGTGGTGAAAACCTATTCATCCTTAACAACTCAGTTAGATCTTACCTTGTCAAGGGAATTATCCTTCCTCTGGGCTATCTCTATAACTTACACATACTTCTACTTGT